GAGAGAGAGAGAGAGAGAGAGAGCGAGAGAGAGCGAGAGCCTTCCTACAGATACTCACTTCTCGCACTGAGTGATGTACACGAGGTTAACCATCCCAGTCGTCTCCTCACAACCACGCTGGCAAATTCAGGGCCGTTCGTTCCTTACCATTTTTGGAAAGGATTTATGTGAGTCAAAGAGAAGCACATCAATACAACTTGCCCATCAGTGACGGGAAAAAGATAGGAAGAAATACAGACAGAAACATTTCAGTAGGAAGAAAGACAGAAACACTTCAGGAATACAGTACACTTAGAAAAACCCAATGGCACCCCAACCACTCCTTTTTTGACAGCTCACTTACACACTAAACACAGCTGTATCAAAAGCGGCATCCCCTCTTTCTAATCACGAGACAGGTCTAATACCCAGTGAACATTGGCTATTTGATACATTCGATTCATCTGATACAGTCGGGGCCGGCCAGGATTTTCTTTTACGAAGGGCAAACGCTGTCATTTTGGCACAATTTCATTAAACTAAGCCAAAATGGTAGCTTTTGCACTTATATGGAAGAAAATCTGGCTAGCACCGTCTCAAATCGACTAAATTCGATTGACAGTATGCATTAAGAGTGTAAAAAAGTAAAGCTGTTCCCGCATCCGATCCGGACATTGGGGATTGCCTTGTTAGTGAGAGAATTTCTTGGGCCTTCGGCATATTGTGGTAGGGTGGCCAGTTCCTTTCCAGGCCGCCTTAACTTCCCATTACTGCTGGGTGGGCAGGAGAGGGCGAAAAAAATAAGTGTCCGAACCGAGGCTCGAATCCGGACTTTCCGCTTTGGAGACGAGCGCACTAACCGCTCCAACACCGCACCCTCCAATGAGTGAGTATACGGGAGAAAATCTAGACAGGAAGGAAGGGGGAGTGGTAGGGGTGGAGGGGTGTTTGAGATTTCTTAGTAAGTCAAGTCCAGTTCTAAACACTTGTACGTCACACAATCCTTATACCAACAGCAGTTGGCAGACACACACGTACTTCATAGTTATGCTGTCTTGCTCTAAAATGGAAATAAACAGTGCACAGAAATTGACAGACGGATCAAGTTAGATATTGGAGCTGTAGGTAACGGCGAGAAAACCATTTTTGCTGAGGAACGGATAAGGAGCGCATAATACTGAAATGAAGTAGAAAGAGCAGACAACACCAGACTATTGCCAAGCGCTCACAGAAAGCCCAACTCAGTAGTGTGAGCAAAGGGAAAAAAAGAAAATTCCGCGAATAACTCTTGGTGGAAGGGCGAGAAGACAGAGTAACAGCGGACTGACAATATATGAGCAAGACACTTGGTTCTGGCAGCCACTGAACGCGTGACGTCAACGACTTAGCACTAATCTTCTCCCATCA